GTTTTAACATTCTGGAATTTTCATCTTGCAAAGGGCTACAATTAATAGAATTAATTTTCTAGATGAAGAAACTTAGGATAGTCTTACATCTTCCCACCTACTACTGAGTTCCTTAGTTCTCTGAATTTATTGGTTAAGAGAAATGTGATGCTCTATTTTTTTTGGAACAAGCAATATTTTAGTTTCATGGAAATCATCTCTGTTTATTATTTATTTATTTTTCCTTCCTATTTTTCTCATAAATTTAGAGGTTGGCTATGAGCCTTTTAGAATGTTCTTAGCTATTTCCTCAGTTTAATTTTCAATCATATTTTTATTACCTGCTGCTTGCAGAACACTTTATTAGACATTAGAGATATTTATAAAGAAGGGGAAATGATTATTGCTCTGCAGAAATCTACAGTCTTAAAGAGTAATTGAAAAAATCAAAAATAAACATATAAACACAAGTTAATTAAGCATAATAGTTCAACTGAACAGCAAACTATAGTTTTAGAAGTTTTAAAGCTTCCAGTTAAAGCAATAGTAGGTTGGTGGACTAGTCTATGAATGCTGAATAAGATTTAACATGGAAATGGCCATTTTATTTGGGGGAAGCAAAGAGATCTTTGGTCTGCTTGGAGTAGAGGGACTGTAAAGGGATATTTGTAAATCGGGGATTAGGATGGAACCACACTGCGCTGAGGCATTTGAACAAGGAGAATAGAAGTCTGGGCTTATGTAAATGTATTGAGAAAGAGCTTTGGTTTTCCAGATTGTGGCTTATGACACTAAATAAAGGGTCTCCAATAAGGTGAGAGAATGCAAAACACCTCTTACTATCCTTTTATGAGTTTGTCAGCAGTGATCATATAAGGATTGGATTTTTGTTTGTCTATATCAATACTATGCAGGATAATGAGTATGATATTAAAAATGGCAGAATCATGGAGAGGGATGTCCAGTAATTCTTGGAAAGTCTATAGAACAAGGTTGTGGATACCATTTATCTCCTCAGAATTTTATATCCCTGTGCAAGATATACAGGTAATAAGCAGAATAAATTTTAAATCCTCACAAGGAAATCAAAATGAGTTTAGCTATATTATAACTCAGACTTAGTGGAATGAAGGATGTACCTTGGTCCTTTTCTAGTGAGAGAAGTTGAAATAACACTTCATGGTAATTTGCAAAATTAAGCGTGGAAGCATTAGTTGTAAGGGTGTTCCAATAAATTTCAGTAATTCATTGATTTTAATTGTGGTCATTGTAACCATTGACTCATTTTGACCAGAGAAATGATCAATTAAGTTTCTGTTAGAAAAATATTTACCTGACTACATATGTTAGAATGAGGGATGGATTAGAGATAAATAAAAAAGCTAGATGTCTAATTTAATTAAGAAGAGAATGTAGACAATGATGATAACAAAAGCAATGGTAATTAAAGACTTATCCAATGTCATCAATATGTTATCAGTTAAAATGTATAAAATGGGAGTGAGGACTGATGGGGTGCTTCTCTTTCCTCTGAGCACAATTTATTTACTGATAATGGGTATGCCACACTTAAAGTGCTATTAGCAGTTCTGGAAACCACACTTAGTCATATTGATCAAATGAATATATACTAATGAAACTGACCAAGATGAGCACATAACTCAAAGCTATTGCATGAGAAATGGCTGTGATATTTAGCTTCAAGAGATAATAAGTTCAATAGATACTTGGTTATCATCCTAGTATTTAAAATTAGGAACTGCTCTCTTCTGGAAGAAAAATTAGTTGTGTGCCTGTATATTTCCACATCCTAGGATCAGGACTAAAGAGTGACATCTACAGAGAGGGAGGCTTTGGCTCCTTTGGGGGAAAACACCTTCAGATGATTTGAGTTTCTTGCCAATGGAATGAATTGTTTTGTGAGGTAGTGAGTTTCTCTTTATTGCTGGAATTCAAACATAGTTGGGCTACAACTTGGTGGGAATTTTTCACAATAGTGAAGTTTTGGTTGACTGTGAAAAATGTTGTACTAGATATTTGTCAGGTCCAGAAAGTATTGAGTTTATAATTTTAGATAGTGACAGTGGGAACACAATGCAAAGAATCTGCCCTTCTTCCTGGTTCTCTCCTCCCCTCCCTTTTCCTTCCTTCCTCTCTCCTCCCTATTCTCCCTTTCCCTCCTTTCCCCTTTCCTACTTCCTTTCCCTCTCTTTGTCCCTTCCTCCCTCCTCTTTACTACCTTTCCCACCTTTCTCCTTTCCTGTCTTTCTAACCCCCTCTTTCTTTTTTCTCTCTTACAAAATAAAAACTTAACTAAGTACTGGGAATACAGTGAGGAATAAAGAAGACCAAAAAAAACACCCTTATGGAAGTTTCAGTTTTTTGGAGCAAAGCGATGTTATCACTCTGATAAATGCTAGGGAAGAACAAATAGGCAGCTGTAAATATGAAGGGGAATCTGTCTGCTTTGGGAAAATTGAGGGAATTTGCAAGGGGGGTGGATTTTTCAAAGAATCTATTGGACATTGTAAATGATTTAGTGACATCATCTAGAAGAGAAGAAGACATTATAGAGTATGTGAAAAATTTGGAGCTGCAACTAGAAAGAATGATTTATTTGAAAGAAACAGAAAATAGGAAGAAGAGTTGGCTTTTAAATGAAAATGTTTAGGTTGCTTTTGACTCGTGAGTGTGAAATGTTGATGGATCTGGTTTTCATTGGTTGCTTTTGGACATGTAGGTTGATAATGCTATGAAGTGCTTCTTTTATAAAGGAAAATCACCTATAGCTTAATAACCTTAACTTTTCTATTTTACCACAGAATTCTTTTAAATTTTAATCCTCTACTGGCATTTATTTCAGATCTAACTGTAAAATCTCACAGACTTTTATCTTTCAAAATTACCAAAAAGAACTGGAATTTAATTTTATTGATAAAATAAAAATGAATTAAATAAAAGTGTTCAATAGAAGCATTAAAATATAATAATAATATATTTATTTCTTGTAGCATTAAAATATAATAATAACAAGTTAGTTTGAGATTCAATTATACTTGTGGGATTGTAATTACAGTGTATTTTTTCCTGAGGTTTACATCTAAACTAAAATTTGAATGATGAGAGTATTATACATAAAAATGGAGTCAGTTCTCTCACATTATCAATAACATTAATTTAAAAAATATATTTTTATCGATTTTAGAGAGGAAGGGGAGAGAAAGAGAGAGACAGAAATAGAGAGAGGTTAGTAATGAGAGAGAATCAATGACTGGTTGCCTTCTGCATGCCCTCCATTGTGGATTGAGCCTGCAACCTGGGCACGTGCCTTGTCTGGGAATCGAACCGTGACCTCCTGATTCATAGTTTGACGCTCAACCACTGAACAATAACATTAATTTTTTAAAAAAACCTTTCATTAAGGAAAGATTCATATTACACAAAGAAAGATTAAAATAATGAATCACCCTTTTCTCCTTCATTCAGTTTCAATTTCTAACTAACCCTAAACCCAGATTATTTTGGTGAAAGTATCAGAAGCATATTATTTAACTTGGAAAAATTGTGATATATATCTTAAAAGGGCAAGCAGTCTTTGAAAAACATATCCAAGGTAATAGTAATATACCTAAATAATAATGATTCCTTGATGATTTTATTTTCAAACTTATTATTTTAAACTTTTGAAAATTTAATAACATAATTGAAACATTTGACATTAGATGAAATGAACAATTATATTTTCAAATTTTTGTTTGTTTTTAGTTAGTATAGAGACTTGGATATGTACCTGACTGATCAGAAGAAGCCACTGGCACTTGGTCAGTAATTTTCTAGCATGGTCGTACAAAATCCAGATATTCCAATCAGAAAAGGTCATTTAAATTAGATGAAGGGGTCTATTTATGTCACTTAAAAATTTAACTATATAAAATTTCATGAAATAATATATCAAGTAATTATTCACAGAAGGAGAAATGTTGGCTAAAATGTTGGTTTGTTTCTAAGTTAAAGGCTGGGAAAAGAATATGTTAATTTCCCTGTCATCTCACCCAGAGCAAGCGAAGTTTTGTATTGCCAGCCAATGAAAAAGTCAAGGAGTCATAGCAGGGAGATTTTTCAAGTCAGTCCCTACTCTGTTTGAAGGAACAGACATACTGTTATCTAGTGGGGGGAAAAAAGTTTGCATTTTGACATTAGAAAAACCACTAGTGAAGCTTTGTGCAAAGTATTGGACAATTTGTGTTCTTGTTATTCATGTGACATATGAAGCTAATAACATATTTATACCATAAAGATAGAATGAATGAATGTATGTAGAGTAGTTTTGTGAATTTTAGGTGCTTGTTATCTAGTTTGCCTAACAAATGACTCCACAACCTTGTGTCTTCAGACAATAATTTAGTGTCTTCACGGTTCTGTGGAGACTGGCTCAACCAGGAGGTTCTCACTTGCTGTTCTCTCATGTGATTGTGGTCAGGTGGCAGCTGGGCTGGAGGCATTAGAAAGTTAAAGAGGCTCAATATCCAAGAGAAGTTCTTCCCTCACATTCTGACACCTCAGCTGGGAAGGCTGGCACAGCTGGGGGCTGGCCATGTGCCTGTCTCTCACCACCTAACCATGCCATAACCTTATCCTGGGCATCCTCACAGCTTGATGGTTTCAGGGCAGACATAACGTGACAGCAGGCTTCCCCTAGAATGAGTGTTCCAAGGATGTCAGGGGAAGTGAAACCCTTCTTTGACCTAGCCTCAGAAGTCACATGGTATCACTTGTACCTCATGCTAGTCAAAAGCTACAATAGTTATAGGAAAGTCCAGATTCACAGGGAGAAGCTTACATGCTGGATAGGGGTGTGGAGTGGGGCAGGAAGGAGGGGATGGGGTATTAAGGATCACTGGGGATGTCATTGGTGCTAACACAGTATTTTACTAATCTAATTATTTTATACATCCTTATTGTTTCCTCTCCCATCACACAAACATTTTTACATTTAGTTTTTTGTTTTTGTTTTTGGACAGGTTATCAAGGATCCTCCTCCACCACCACCCCCTGCACCAGTAGAGGTAAATGAGTGCTTAATAAGGGATGTCAGTGTTTTTTAGATATTATCACCAAATTTGACCAATTACATTATTATCAGATAACTATGACACTTCTGAATTGACTTTTGAATTCATGAAAATCAATAGTTATTGTTTGTCCTCTTATGATTTCTTACATGTGCTAGACGAGATGTAATTTACTTCTTATAGCAATATATAAATAGTTCTGACGTCACTTATCTTGTCTTAAAAAAGTTCGAAACTGCAAACTGGCAGTTCCAGTTTTACTTTCTTCAAAATGAGTAATGCAGTAGTCTCCCTTATTGGTGGTTTCTCTTCCTGTAGCTTCAGTTACCAGTGGTCAACTGTGGTCTTCTGAGGTCTGAAAATATTAATTGGAAAATTCCAGAAATAAGCAATTAAAAATTTTCGTTTACATGCCATTCTGAACAGGGTGATGAAGTCCACACCACTCCATTCTGTCCTGCCGGATGCCTTTGTCCAGTGTATCCTTGCTGTATACCCACCTGGTAGTCACGCAGTAGCTGTCTCAGTTACCGAACTGCTGTCTCAGCGTTGCAGCTTGTGTTCACACAGCCCTTATTTTATTTAGTAATGGCCCCAAAGTGCAAGTCTAGTGATGCTGGCAGTTTGGAAATGTCAAAGAGAAGCTGCAAAGCGCTTCCTTTGTGTGAAAACGAGAAAATTCTTAATAAGAAAAGAAAAAAAAAAATACTGAGGTTACTAAAATCAACAGTAAGAAAACCATGAATTTTTCTAATCTATAAATTAAACTATATCATAGGCATGTATGTATAGAAAAAAACATCATGTATACTAGGTTTGATAATATCTATAATTTCAGGCATCCAATGGGGTTTTTTGGAGGGGATCAAAGCTAAAAGCGGGCTGTTGCACTTTAACTGTTTGTCAGCCAAAATTGTGTTAGCAACGTGAAATACAGAATGTACTGTCCTGTGCATCTTTAAAGCTTCTCAGCTACTTATCTTTTTAGTACGAACTTCACAGAACTCAAACATACACATACTTGGATGCTTTATGTGACTATGGAAATGCTCTCCCAAATTTTAATGCTTTATCTTTTTAAATATCAAGTGATGAATAGAAAAAAGCACACACAAACTATGCTCTTATCAGCTTCTGGTAACTAAGTGAATAAGGGGGATTCCTAAAGTTGTGGAAAGGAAGGAGTCCTCCTACGCTCTGGAATTCCAGGGGAAAATTATGCCGTAAGCATCCATACCTCTCCATGTCTCATATAGTATAACTTGTACTGTGTTTCTTACACGGGAATTGCATTATTCAGAAAAATGGTTCAGTGTGACCCAGTCCTGACTAAGCAATATTTTAAGAATGTAATTGAACAAATTTTTAAAAATTGTATCTAAGCAGGAGGAAGAGGATCCTCTGCCAAACAAGAAATGGCCAACGGTGGATGCTTCCTATTATGGCGGCCGAGGGGTTGGAGGAATTAAAAGAATGGAGGTTGGTATCTTTAAAGAAATAGAAGCCACTGATTTAGAATATAAATTTCTAGAACTATGAGGCCATGGAAACTGTACTTTTTATAATTCAGTATCACAATACATCCATTTTTTTACTTAACACTGGGTCTTTTGCAGATATTCTTTATCTGTGGAAGCATCTTAGCCATTTCAAAACTCTCCAAGAAGAACTAACTTCATGAGTCAAAGAACTGCATTGATACCATGTCTGAATTCTAAAGGGTGAAACAAAGTTAGGGTTTTTCTCTCTATTTTGGAAAAAATGACTGCAGAGAACATCAATTTTAAAGAAGCCAGCCACTTAAAATTGCAACAATACTCATCTTTGAAAAGATCTAATAGCTATGTACTATTTGAGGAGAAAAATGTTAAAATATTCAATAGTATGGATATGACCTTATCACAAATGTAGAGGAAAAACATGTAAGGCTTTTTTTTTTTAATACAGCTTTTAGTTATCACTTATGAACAATCATAATTAATATTAAATATCTTTTATTAGAATACATTGAACTTTTTGACTGACTCAAATTGTGGACATGAGTTTCATGCACCAGGCCTCTAGTTAATTAATAATATGCAGTCATTGCCTGCACTGAGCCCTTAACTAGTTCAAATAGGCCAGCATCTCACCCCAACGAGAGCTGAAAGAATTTTTCATTGATATACTGCCGTTATTATTAAACTCAGATCTTCACTTTTTCTCCTTATTGGATATCCTTTAATTTTACTTCTTGATAAAGAATTTATTTTATGTTGTGCAGTCATGGCACGTGTCTTCTGTCATATTTGTTTTGTTCTCATCACTGCCAGCAGAAGTCAGTTAGCTAACTACCAACCTCAAAACTGTTGAAATTTTCTTTCTTATACACTTCAATAAATTTCAGATTCCCAATAAAAAGTTGCCTCTTTTTAGAAGAAATTTCAGTAGTTTTCAAAAAAAAGCCTAGGCCTACTTAATATGGTTGCCACTATTGAAATGGTTATTCAAGTCATCTGATCTTGATTGTCACTTTCTTGAGCACATTACATGTTAAAATAATTCACATTATCCATAAAAGCTTGCCACTGTACTGCTGAAATATTTTCTGAGACAAGTACCTCATTGCCAATAAGCTATGGGAAAGTCAAGTGCTAAAATCTGTTAAGTTTGTTTTTAGGAGAGAAGAGTGCACCTGTGTTTGCCGGTGGGTAATTGGGAATATCAAGTATTATGAAGAGCTTAGCGGGGCTAGCTCTTGTTGCTTGATACAGAAGGAAGGTCATTTTCCTTCAGCCTAACTTTGCTATGCCAATCTAGCCTCAGGGGGGTGGGAAAGAGTGGATTAGATATTCCTGTGCATATAAAAAATACACTTATAAATAAGTGTTACATTTTGATAGCTATATATATGATATTACAACTTATTTTAGTTTAGGTAGCCTCATTTTAAAATGAATGTGTAAAAAAATGTTTGCGAAGAGAAAAAAAGTTTTGACATGATATACCACAAAATGTTAGAATAGTTTTCTCTGCATGGAGTGATTTTCAATTTGTGCTATATAATTCTCTATTATTTCCTAATTTATTTGATATTGAACTTAGAAGGGTGAGGTAAAAGTAGGTTTATAGTTCTGAGTATGTGAAATAGTTGATTATTGTGTTATTATTTTCTTTCTTTTAAAAAATATATTTTTAAAATTTTTTACAGAGAGGAAGGGAGAGGGATAGAGAGTTAGAAAAATCAATGAGAGAGAAACATTGATTAGGTGCCTCCTGCACACCCCCTACTGGGGATTGCCCCCAACCAAGGTACATGCCCTTGACCGGAATCGAACCTGGGACCCCTCATTCCGCAGGCCTACTCTCTATCCACTGAGCCAAACCGGTTAGGGCGTGTTATTATTTCCTATACAAACAACTATAAATCTACTTTGCCCAATTCTGTATTCAGAATAATAAATTTAATTTCATTTTGAAATCTACACTTATAAAATACCACATAACAACAAGATACAGATGTGTTAGTATGTAATATATTAGTATATTTTTGATGAGAAAGTAATGTTCTTGTTAAAACTCTAGGAATTATGCAAGATTTTTGCTAGTTCAATATTTCAGTGTCCCAAAGATTGAGATCTCTTTGTAAAGAAAAGCATAGGCATGAGCTGAACGGGTCCTAAGTTAAAGAGTATATTATTGTCTTATGATCAAGGAAGCCAAGGACTCACACACATTTTTTAATAACTTGTATTTTAAGTTTTAAGCATTATTCTCTAAATATGTGAAATTATATTTTCTATTCAGTTGAGAAAAATTTATGATAGGGCTCACCCACTTTTAATAATTGAGGTCCCTTTTAGCTTTCGACAAATTCTGACTACATTTTATGGTGTATTCCATCAATAAGATTGAAATGTGGATGAGGATGACAAAAAGTGAAAAATTAAATGTGCACATTACAAAGGGGAAATGAAATACCTAAAAATACATAATAAAAATTGAAGTGATCATTAAACTTTCTCAAATATGAACTTCCTTAAAGTTGAAGAGGGAAAAAAGAACACATAATCTGCTTTAAAATTTTGCCTATTCAAACCTGAAAAGCATATTCTTTTTAAAAAAATATGTTGAACTGGGGGAAGTAAAAGGAATTCTAGAAATTATGACCACATCTGAATTATGGAACAAATCTTCATAACTAGTGCTATTTTAAGCCAGTATAGGGATTTTACTTAGACCTATGATAATGGAAATTTGCAGAAAACTGGAATTGAGCTGATGTTAATAACAGCTGTTAGCATAGCTGATCCACAATATCTAATGACTTCAAATGTGTGTTTCTGCCAATTCAGTGTGAAACTGTTTTTGTTTCTTTTCTTGATTCTGAAATTGTTCCTTTATACTATAACCTCCTAGACATCTAAATATGCTCTGAAAATTATGGAATATTATCGTTTATCATGAAAGTCAAGCAGAGTTGGAAGAACTTAATTATCTAGCTTGTGCTTATTCCTCCCCCGCCTCCCCCTCCCCCCCAAAATTAAAAATTCATGTATATGAACTCTGCTAATTCTCCCTTTGGTGATCTAGTCTTGTAATTCTTTTATCCTTTGTGACCATCTCAATGTGGTCAAACTAAAATATTAAAATGTATACATATACTTGTGTACATATTTAACTGCTTTAAAGAGTTTTAGGAAAATTATAGAGTTAAACTTTGAGATGAAGTGAGAGAATTTGTTTTGTTGTTTGTCTGATGGTGGTGATGATTTAAACAGCTACTTCATGAACTAACACTAGTAGATTTATTTAAGGAATTTCCTTTAAAACTCAGAAACATATTTCATAAGTGTAGTGTCTTGATAGTTGAGTTCCTGGAAATGCCACATTGGGTCAGAACTCCAGTTTAACCAGCTCGGGGTTCTTTATCTGAGAATGGGTTTTCAGTGAAACTTGGAAGGAAAACACTATTTCCATGACCTTTGTGATACCAGCTGTGAAGGTTAGGCCGAGGAGCTGTGTATGCTAAAATCTGTCATTTCTAAATAGATCTAAAATGTATCTTCTTCGTTTCTATTCTGAATTATTTTCTGAGTTGTGATACTTATATGTTTACTTAACTGTGCATCTTTTTCCATTTTTTTGTTTTGTTTTTCCCCTTAGAATTGAGACTTTACAACTGCAAGGATATGTATCCTGCTTTTAAGGTTTTGTAGTTCAATTTAGCTGTTCTAGAGACTGTATAAGTCTTAGTTTATCCAGGTGACGGTGCTGTGATTTGAAAGAGAAGGTCATTTCTTTGGAAGGAGAACCAGCTATCTAGTTCTAAAGGTTTAATGGTATTTAAAGCAATTTTAACACCCTCATAAAGAACATTCCAGTACCACTGATCACACTGAGAGATATAGAAACATTTTTAATGAGTCAATAGGGCCCAATTGAAATGGAAAGCCTATTCTAAAACTGTATTAAAAATGGCTCAAAATATCTAAGTAAGCCTTACCAAAAAGCTGCGAATAGTTCTTTCTATAAAGAGGGATTATCTGTACTCCCACACACTAAGGCCATTAAAATGCTTTAAAATGGATTTAACAATTTTTTTTCTTTGTAGAAATCAATTAACTCTGCTGGGTTAGTGGGCCCTGGACAGGCCCTCCTATTTCTTTTTAGAGCTTCATTTATGCTATCTCTGTCATCTTTGATAATGTCCTTGGGCTGCATCTTGTTCCATGCCTACACATGAAGAAGTTGAGCTCAGATTTAGCTCTTACTTCTTGTTCCTTTTGAAACAGAGAAAACAGTTGGTTGACTCTGTGGTTTTTCAACATCCAGAATTGTCAGAGAACGAAATTTCCTGAAATTTGTGAAAATCCCTGATGTTTCTTAAATGTTCTTTCCATAACAGAAGCTTTTTTTCAGCTATGTTCTTCCTCAATGAAAAACTGTTATATCAAGTAACCATACCCAGATGAGAAAATGAGAACAGGAACTAAAGACTGAAAATTACTTTATAAAATCAAGCTTTATAAAAGTAAGAAAATTACATGTAATAATTTTACTTCTGAAGGCTAAATGTTTAAATCATACATTTTGCCTCAATCAAACTTTATGAAAAGTTTGGAAAAAACAGTGAACTCCTTTGTGTAAAATACATTAATAAGATTCAAACCTATTTGAAACGTATTAGCCTATTTCAGACTATCTGCATTAAAATCCCTGCCCTGCTACTTGCTAGCTGTGTGGCTTTGGGTATGTCACTTAACCTCTCTGGGTCTCAGTTTCCTCATCTGGAAGGCAAAATACAGTATCTCATTACATTTTCCTATGGACTAAATGCAGATCGGCACATAGTAAGCATTCAATAAATTCTAATTATCATTTTTATTATCTATTTCCCTCAGTTTCATCAGTATATATGGGTTTGTGTTTAGCAGGAAGAGTACCCTATCCAATTAAAGAATAGGATTACAGACTATCATGCTTTAGGAACTACCAATTAACTCCTTATTTGAGACAATGGAGAAATGGATGCTTCAAATTTTAATTAATTCCAGATTTATACAAAGGGTCTTTTATTTTTTCTGGAACCTTAATGTTAAGTACATAAGTAATGGTGATAAACCTATTAAATCTCAGAAGAGGAGAAATTTACAATTAGTTTGCCTACACATCTTCCTTTTCCTCTGAGGTGGTAAACGGAAGGACCATTGGTTAAATCGGAACTTATTTTTCCAAGACACTGTATGTCTAAGATAACTTCTCCCCCTTTGTTTGAAAGGTTCGCTGGGGTGATAAAGGATCTACTGAGGAAGGTGCAAGGCTCGAGAAAGCCAAAAATGCTGTGGTGACAATCCCTGAAGAACCAGAGGAACCCATCAGGCCTAGGCCACCTCGACCCAGACCCTCGTACCAGCCTCCTCAGACAAAGTGGTACACCCCGATTAAGGTACTGCCCAAGTTTTGCGCCATTTAACTGAAATTTCCCAGAGAAAGTGTAACGCTTTTTTTTTTAAATATATTTTTTATTGATTTTTTTTACAGAGAGGAAGGGAGAGAGAGCTAGAGAGCTAGAAACGTCAATCAGAGAGAAACATCGACCAGCTGCCTCTGGCACACCCCCTACCGGGGATGTGCCCGCAACCAATGTACATGCCCTTGACCGGAATCGAACCCGGGACCTTTCAGTCCGCAGACCAACGCTCTACCACTGAGCCAAACCGGTTTCAGCAAGTGTAACTCTTTTTGTCCTCCCTACCCAAGTCTCTGAAGGAGGACCCAGGTCCATCACATAGCAGGCATGCAGTCTGTATTTAACGACTAAAAATTTTCTCAGCAACAAGGACCTTCTCCTTATTACTTAACAGTTAACTTATTCTTTATTTTAATTTATGAAAAAAGCCAGAGTAGAGATCTTTATTTTAATTTGTGAAAAAAGCGAGAGTGAGTAGAGAATAGGGTGTACCGTCTTCATTTTAACTCACGTATTCTCCCAGTAGGGCTGAGTGTGCTCCTTAGGGATTAACGAGTCGTGTTCCCTTTAGGGCCGGCTGGACGCGCTCTGGGCTTTGCTGCGGCGGCAGTACGACCGGGTGTCCTTGATGCGACCTCAGGAAGGAGACGAGGTTTGTACGCGAGGATGTGTTGGGAAAGAGCTGGCTGCGTGGGTCTGTACAATGAAGGTGAACTCGTAATCAAAAAGGACTTAAAGCCCTCAGTACACTCGAGGAAGGAGTTATCATCTCCTATTATATACGGTGCCTAATCCATTCTCTGTTGTTGGAATACATCTTCAAGTTTGATAAGTCCCTTGTCAAGCAACACATTAAGAAATGACGGCCTATTGTACACTGGCTTTAAGGAGCCCACTCTTTGCTTCGGCCTTTGACTTGGATGACATCATGTTCTGAGGTGTCACCCAAGTGGGGGGGCAGATTCCGGGTTAGGAACTGAAGTCTTTCTCTGACATTTACTAGCAGTGAGGACTGGAGAACACACCTCAGAGCCTCTATTTCTCGGTATAAGTATGTTATTTCCCTGCTTCCAATAGTTGATGAATCTAATTTCTTAAATATATGGAAGTGTCTTTGAAAGCATACATACATACACATATGTATAGGAATATATAAATGCACATACACATGTGTGTTCATTTTCTCTACCAAGTCAGCCTATTTCAAGCTTTTTAGTTTTTGGAAATTTGTCTAGAATTACGCCAGTTTTATCATTTTTTAAATATATTAGCACTATTTGCTATTGTATCAATGTAAGAAAAATTGTTTAAAACCTTTTGATATGTATCAAGAGCGAGTTTTATTGAGAAACATGCCACTGTTAGTGGTAACAACAGTGTTCTCATTATCTGTCAGCACGACTGTGAACACCATTCACCTCAGCTTCAGAGGACTTCGGGTTCATTCAGGTGCAATAGCTATGTTTTTAAGGATAAATAAGTGATGAGATTCATATTTATTTTACAGTTCCAAGCTAACGTTGTATTTCATTTTGTGTGATTCTGTCATGGTATTTAAAAGACAAAAAAAAGTCTAAATCTTATCATTTTACTTGGATGAGATGGGGGTTATTTCAGAAATATCTGAGTTCAACCATGTAGGAAATCCAATTTGAGAAAGTATTCCTGGAATATTCCCAACAGATCATTTACCCTTTGCTAAGACCATAGGTAGAGAGAATGAGGTAGTGGTTGAAGCAGACTTTTTCATTACTAGACCGCTGTGGTTTATATTTAATGGTACCTCTGTTTAAATGTATGCATGATTTGGAGTTGTGCTTCTGCAACAGCATATAGCAGCTCAACTTATCATTCAATATGCTGGTCTTTCTCTTCCTCATGTTAGACATTAGTTCATTTGTTCAACAATTTGAGTGTTGGGAATTGCTAACACTGAAGATGTATTGGCCAGCAAAAACAGATAATGCTCTATATTTATATATTCTTTTAATTCCTATAATTAAAATTTATTTTTCAGTCTTTTTAAATTCCTACTCATTTTGATTTAAGTGATTTTTTATTATAAATATGTACAAATAATGGTAATACTAACCAAGGGAGCAGGTGGTGTACAAAGTGTAGCTTTTGCTCTTAAGAAATCTGAAATTTGTTTGGGAATCGAGATATATATAAAAATAATGTATATTCCAGAATGTGATCTTGAGTGCATACAGTAAGAGAGATTGAATCTTTCTTTCAGAGGAATTTTGGATGTTTTTTCAAAAACATAGGCCTTATGTCTTTGAAAATAGGTAGGATTTCATCAGGTGGAGTTAGTAGAATGGGCATTTCCATTGACAAAGCATCATGAGCAAAATCTCTAAGGCAGCCAAGAATACTGTCATTTGTGGATTACTAGGAAGTATGGGGGTTGGAGGTTAAAACCAGAATAGGTTGGGAATAAAAGAGATCTTTGAGTTTGGATAAGTTGATATATTTGGTTTTTAAAAGGATGCATTATTCTTGTTCATTCAACAAATATTTAGGTAGGACCTAACATGTACCAAGAATGTTGTTAGATACTAAATAAATTGAGCATTCTCTTTAATGTATAGTGCTGGAAGGAATATCCCACATAGTGTCCAAACAGATTAAATTAGTATTTATCTTTCCATTATTGAAGACTAATGCTTCCATTATTTTGATCAAGATTTCCTTTTGTTTTATTACTTGGGCATACTTTCATTTAATATAGTTCCAAAGCCTTCTATTCTAATATTTGAGGTCAAATTGCTTCAAAATTCAGAATTTTTCAGAGTCTAGACTCTAGGGATTTGATATAGTCCTTATATCATATTTATGTAAAAATACCTCCTGATAATTATTCAGACATTTTGCTACAAAATTATTATTCACTAAAAGTGGATACATATAGACTATAAGTAATCTCAAGTTAATGCAGGTCAGGTTTAGCTTCTAAATGAATTTTGATGACCAACTTTGTACAAAACTTTGTTTCCAAAGATTTTGTATTTCAAAAGTTGAGATAAAATATAGTAAGTGGACCTTTATGATGTGTGATTAATTAAACTAGTTTTCCTACTCTACGCTATGTATGCTAATTATGATTTTTTGTTTATTTTTACTTAAATGTGGGATTTTAGCTTAGTAACCATCAATTTGTGGTTTAATTAATTTGTTATTCTGTCAGATATATATTGACTCTGTGTGCTTGACACAGTCTGACTTAACCTTTTTTTATAATACCTATTTTTGATAGCTTTACTGCTTCTAACATTTTGCCACTAGAAAAGTTTTGTCACTTATTTTAAGTACAATTAAAACCTCAGTGTGACCCTCAATGAGAACTCTCCCCACAGTTTACTGACATTAGTATGGAAAAGCCAGAAACCACCCAACAGTACCATCTCAGATTATCATTTTATTCACAAGGTTATTTTATAAATTTTGTTAAATTATTTGCTGAATTTAAGGTATAATGTTTATTTATAAACTCCCCTATTCAACTAACCAATGATGCAAAATTATTTGATCACAGAAATCAGGTAAGTTTGACATGAGTTAATCTTTTGCTTCTTGCTAGTTATTTTTTATAATATTTATTATTTTTTTTAGGCTGGAGTTTGATACAAAGTTTGTAGGTATCAGCATATATTCTTTTCGCTTTAGACAACTTGGGAAGTCTTTCCCCTCCTGCCTCCTTTATTTATTTCCCATCTCCCATTTTCATGTTTCACAAGGATTATTAAGAATATGTTTTTCAGCCAAAACCGGTTTGGCCTGCGAACTGAAAGGTCCCAGGTTCAATTCTGGTCAAGGGCACTTACATTGGGTGCGGCCACACAGGCACATCCATCCCCAATAGGGGGTGTACAAGAGGCAGCTGATCGATGTTTCTCTCTCATCAATGTTTCTAACTCTCTATCTCTCTCCCTTCTCTGTAAAAAAAATCAATTATATATATATATATATATATTTTTTTTTTAAGAATTTGATTCTCCAAAGGACTTGTATACATGCATATAAGTACAACCAATGGACATAAAACTCTGGGGAGAGAGGTTATGTGTGGGAGGGAGGGAGGGAGGGCAAAAAAAATCAAAATATATTAAAAAAAAAAGAATTTGATTCTCTCAACTTCACATCATCAACCAGGTCCTCTTTATTTGATAGAATTAATTCCAATGTAAACTCCTGATCCCATATACATTCAAAACTATAACCTGTACTTTTTCAGATATTAAGTGATTAAATTAGTAAGAATCATTTCAATACTTAGCAGAATTAGTGTTCTGTATCTTAATAATTTAGAATAATAGAGTTCCAATATGTTTACATTATGTGTCAGAAAGCTATCATGCTACTTTGGTTACATGGTCTTCAGAATGCTTTTCCTTTCCTCCCTCCCTCCCTTCCTTCCTTTGTCTCTTAAACACATTTATGTCCACTATACTTTCACCTTCAGGCTTGCTAATTTCTTATACAAGTTCATGCATTTCTTACATGCTATGCTAATTTTCTTTTTGGCGTCATTTGAAAGACTGAAGACTTTCAATTACTCTATTCTTATCTTCAAGAGTACAGTAAATACTGTTATTGATGAAGCCTGCCATGTGACTTTGTGATACTTGTGCCAAAACGAATCTGCACCAGAGGACACTTAATCATAGTAAATATTTTAGTGGATTTTATTTAAAAGTATTTATAAGAACTGAACCACATCAGATATTATTATCCAAAGCAATAATATTTAATTATTTATTTAAATAAAATCATAATTGCATGGTGCAATGGCATAAATCTACTGAGACTCTTACAAATGTTATTTTATAAAACAAAAGCATATAATATTTCTTATATTCCAGTACTCTTTGCTTTGGAGTATTTTTGATTTGAGAAACCCAAAGTACTTCTCCCAGTAGGAAATGCGGCTCCAGAGGTCCAGAGAGACCCAGGGAGTGGAGCATACAGGGCACAGCTAGTTTTGCTAGATATGAAAGATGGGGTGCTGTGCTTTGGTAGTGCTTAACCTGTGCATGCGAAGGAGACAGTGGTTCACCATTACCTCCTACTTACTGTGTCCAGCTGGTGAAGCCCTCAAAAACTAAACTACCTGAACTCCGTGGTTTTCACCAAATTTGCTTCTATCTCTGTTTCTTAGGATTACATGGGCAGAGAAAAATTTAGATGTAGGAGGCTAGGATGTCCCAGGGGCAGGGCCCTCTTCCCCGGCTTTTTGTGCTGCTAGCCAGGACTTAATCATTGAACGAGATTAGTCTTGGAGTTGTTCTGATTGCATTTTTTTCGTATACATTGGTGAATAACTTTTGCAAATGATTTTTTACTTTCCTGTACTCCTGAAAGCTGGTGTGTGTTTACTACTGAATATACTTCTTATGAAATATTTGTTTAATGGTGTAAGAGAGTGTGTGTGTGTGTGTGTGTGTGTGTGTGTGTGTGTGTGTAAATATAAAGCAATTTGTATGTTATAGGGATTAGGTAGGCTTTTGGAAAAAATATTCTAGTTGGAATTGAATGCAGTGTGTTTTATATTGTCAGGAAACAAAGGAAAATGCTTTTATTTCCAAATTTTCAAAGGAAGTAATAGTCTTTTTTTCTTAAAAAAGGGAAAAGGAACAAACTATGATGTTT